ACTCCAGAAAGTACTGTATCATTCCAGAATGTTTTTAATCACTTCCGCAAGTACTGAATCACTTTTGAAAGAACTGAATCACTCTAGGAAAGTTAAAAATCACTTCAGACAGTACTGAATCATCCCAGAAAGTTTTTAATCATTTCCTCAAGAACGGAATCACTTCGAAAATAATTTAATCAGTTAGAAATACACTGAATCACTTCAGAAATGTTCGGAATCACTTCTGAAGTACTGAATCTCTTCAGAAAGTTCCTTATCACGTCGGAAAGTACTGAATAGTTTCAGAAAGTACTGAATCACTTCAGAAAAATTCAGAATCACTCCAGAAAGTACTGAAACACGTCAGGAATGTTTCGAATCACTCCGAAAAGTGAATCATTCCATATAGTTTGTTATCAATTCCGAAAGTATTGAATCACTTCGGAAAAAAAACTGAATCACTTTTATAATGTTTGAAATCCAAGCCATAAAGGGCTCGATGTTGGCAACATAGATGAAGTACAGAAAACTCTCCACAACTCGATGTCCATTAGTTCGATATCGAGTTATATAATCATAGTAAAAATTAATGTCATGTCTACTGCGATAGCGAATTTGTATGAGATTGTTATTCTATAACTCGATGTACTGCAAAAACTGAAACAAGAACCTTAAATAACCGTAAAAACCTGGCACTGAAACAGTAAACGTATTGCATTTTAAGGTTTCTAACGGTAACATCAATTGTAACAGCACAAACATCTCTGGTTATTTCAAAGTAGCGTAGCGACGATTGCATTATTAACACACACACACATGCTCGAGGAGTTTGGGAATCCACTTTTGCTAAAAGTAGCAAAGGATGAGTTCACGAGGTTTCCTAGATAAAAGTTTCTTTTTCAAAGGTAAGGGATGTGCCATTTTGCATTAATCTAAATAAATTTATCATTGTTGTTCTTTTATGCTGGCGATTGATTTATGCTATCTTAACAGTAATCATAGTTTATAACTACTCAAGATATCAAAAATCCACCACCTCCAGTATAAATTGAACAGCACCGTAGAAACCAAATTGGTAATGATTTGTAATACGCCAGAGGTTTTCTGAGGCTGAATTTAAGTATCATCATATCTATAATCTTGCTCTTATTTAGCCTCGAACTTGAGACTTAAGAAGGGCAACCAAGTGCCTCGGAGAAACGAAAGTCCGTTGCCCCATTGTTGGCACAGTAAGGGCTTCATACTGTGGAGGTTTTTATTTTAAAACTGACTGGTAGTTTTGGGAAATCTGTTTTGCCCGAGGTTTAGCCCACGAATGTTTAGGAAAATTTCTAGAAATTTTTCAGAGTTTTTTCCTGAAATTTTGAGAACGTTAAGTATAATGAGATACAAACAAAAATATGGTGCTTGGAAAGTGTTGACAGAACATTTGAAAATTAATCATAATTTCGAGAAGTATGGATAAAGGGACTTTGTAGATGTTCAAGGAACATTAGAACGATTTTCCGCCCCTCGGGTTTTTGTTGTGTGACAAATGCCACCTTTGACACGTGTAGAATACGGTGTTACTCATCATGCAGTAGCGATAAAGTACAAATGTTTTGCAACGGACCATATCAATTAGATAATGTAACAACGCCAAGGGCGGACGCATCATTATTTTAGGCAGATTTATATTTTAAGGGCGCAGGTCAATATTGGGTGCGGAATTTTAGGAACATAGCACTGGTTATACTTGATGGAAGCCGCGAACCGAAAATTAATTTTGGACACCCACTTGGAAAATCGCTAATAAATTCATTGCCAGTTAAAAGCACTGTCAGAAAGATTCGTCAGCGAGAAGGATTTCGATCTTTTCGGGCCAGTAAGCAACCAAACAGGACACTGAAGCAGAATCGGGATGCAAAAGAGATGAAGAGATGGTGGAACAAAACGGCCGCTCAGGTTAGCCAACAGAGTGTCAAAAATATGATGAGTGATATTCGAAGAAAAGTTCGAGATTTCATCAAAACCAAATCGGAATAGTTTTTTTTAGTTATTTTTCCTTTGAAGTGCAACAAATGATCATTATTTTTATTTCATTAAGACGGTTCCGAGATAAATCCGTTTTTTGGGTCCAGATATTAAATGACTCAAGCTTTAAAATAACCGTGTCGATAAGTACTACTTTTCAGCATCCAGTGCACAGTTGTTGGGGACTTAAAAACGAATCGAAAGAGCTGTGGGGAGTAGCGGGATGTTAAGTTGACCCAGCCTAGTGTACACCATTGGCGTAACTATGGGGGGCTATAGGTGACACAGCCCCCTAGGATTATTGCAAGCCCTCAATAGAATTGTTGATACTTATTTTCTCTACACATCATATTGTTCACTATTTGTCTAATTGAGATATTCTAAAAATAAATTCAATCATCCCCTCTCCCCCACCCCTAGGATTGTTCCTTAGTTACGCCAGTGTAACTAGTGTACACACTAGTAAAACTGTACACCACTGTACAATAGACTGTCCAATTTTTTCGCAATGTTCTCAGATTTTTGCTCCCCATCAAAAACTAACTTCCTATATACCTCAATAGCTTATGTGCAAAAGATCAGCTCATTTGCTCATAACAGGGTCTAGCCCAAAGCACATTCGTGAAAAAATACTTTTTGAGTCATTTACATCTTTGAACGGGCCATCCAAAAACTATGAAACTATTTCAAACAAATTGTTTATAGCCTCTGCAAGGTCTGCAAAATAACGTCTCTGAAGCATGTAGGTGGCTAAAATGATCGAACAAAATTATATAAAAAAAGTTAACTGCCTTGAACCAACATACACATGCAAGGTTTTACTTGTTTCGTGGGAAACCTATGCCAAATAATTTTGTACAGCAAAACTTTGGTCAATAGAGGCTAGGTAACTGTGAACTATAACTTTCGCACTTATATACCTTGATTGTAAAACATATAGTTCAGTTCTTTTAGATTAACCTTTAGTGTAGTTGATCGGAAATAACCTTGCATGCAAGTTGCAGTATCGATTTCAATCATAGTGCGCCTGACAAAATCTGATCACTCAGTATGAATGACATATAAAAAACAGCTCACATCTGCTGAAAATGCGTACAGTGTACAAGATATTTAAACTCTTTGAACTGTATGGTCAGTAGCGTGGCGTGGCGAGATTCTTTGGACGCTTTTCTGGTGTACACAAACTATAAAAAGCTCGTATGAAATCAATAAAGTAGTTAATAATAGGATGTGGTGTATATGGGCTGTAGGGATACCGTACATGTGAGAAGTATATCAACGACCAAGATTAATTATAGATTTTTTTTTACCATATAGCCATCAAACCGCTCTCGAAAATTAAAACAGATGGGCTACTTTGGAGACGTGGTAAATTCTGTTTTTTGACATTAAAATTGAAAAATTAATCAACAAAATAATCCAAAAATATTCAACCTGTACAAAATTCATAGTCAAATCAGACAAATAACTGGAACAGAGAGATTCTCATAAATCATGAATTTTTGGAATGTTCGAGTTTTAATATGACTAAATAGGGTAGGCGTACCAGTTATGGCCATACGTTGCTATTATGGCGTGTTCCAGTTATTTAACACACCATACAAAGGAACATGTAGCCATAACTGGTACATCTACCCTAATACCTTTCATTCCTTTACCTGAGATCTGGGGAAGACAAATCCCAGTCACCTTCAGACTGCTGCGATGGATTTAAAAGTCGTTGAGTTTGATTTTCTCATGTTTCGATAGTAATTGAAATGTGGAGCTACGCGAAGATTGTGTAAGTGCACCAGTTAAATAAAATATGATCTTTGGAATTATTTTGAAGTGATTTGTAAAAAAATTAACGATTGGCTTTTCACTCAAAATTAATACTTTTCATTCATTTCTTTCTTGCAACAGTAGAACAAATTGGTTCGATTTTGACAGTTCAAATTTGTTAGAAAATCATTCCGTCACCGCAAGACCCAGATCAAAACATTGATATATACGATTTTCACATGAAATATTCTGCACTAACTGATATTATGAATGCTCAGCGACTCCCGAGGGGTGCTTATGAAAGTTTCAACAACAAATTTGTAAATTTTTTGGGAAGGTTTCCTTTGCTAAACTTTTCCGCCTAATTCTGGGAAGTCCTTAATTGGATATAATTAGCGATATTTCACGAAGTTCACCAAGGGAAAAGTTCGCGAGTCATAGTGAGTTTTCGCGAACTTTTCCATCACTGCTGAGGATTATACGATCTAGTAAACTGCAGTCCCAGTAACAAGTTGCAGATAGACATTCAATCGATTATTTAACCTACTTAGTTTGAAAGTGTCTATAGTAGCCGGTCCAGTCCAATGAAGCCCGCTACGACGGTAACGATTAAGAAAGAATTTAGACCATCAATGTCTATAAATAATCGAATCAAAGCATGACCATGATGAATCAATGGCTACATTTACTTTTTAATATTCTCATAAAAGAGAGTTGTCAGATCAAACAATTAAGATTGAAAAAAAAAACAATTTAACTATAAACACAAGCTAAGTATATTAAACTCGCGAGGAGACATCAATGCCAGTCCCGTAAACAACCTTCCGGTGCGGCATTCTGTCACGTGTCAGCCATCTACGTACCAGTATGCAGGCGTGTTTCAAACAGCAGCTGATTTGTGCCTACACCTAACCTTATCGAGGTTAGCGTAATATATTTGCTCTCGCAACATGTCCAGCTTTGTCATATTACCGTAGTTACACAAAAAGTAACTTGCTTTTACTCACCCTACCAAAGAAAAGGCGATATAATTAGCGACTCTGTTGGGGATCATCAATATGCAAACAGCTTAATCGCACCTATCTCTGGCTGGGCCTCAGTCACTCCACCAATACGAATAGGTACTTATGTGCACCAGTCAAGTTCAAGTTCTAGACGGCCGCGATCTTTAACTTTGCCGTATTCTCACGTAATTCACGCCGTCCCTTTCAATCTGCTTCTCTCTTTTCTTCTCGCTATTTCAGATGACAGAGCTAATGCATCAGATGCGTGATCCTGCCTCGATTGGTGGCGGATCTGTCGGCAGTATTCCACAGAGCATCGTGTCATCCAGTGCAAATTCGAACGACATACATCGTGCGCTGCGTGGCCAAGGAATCCATTCAACACCGGCGTCAAACTTGAAACTGTCGGAACAAATGCGGAATGCGCAGCACGATAGCAGTCCCACGCTAAACCACAACCAAAACGGTAGCAGTGCAACCGGGCAGCAGCATGGGTCGCAAAGTCGTCTGTCCAGCTCCAAGAGCTACTCCGGTGGACTGAACCACTCGGCCAGTGGTGGAAACATGCAAAACAGTAGCAGTGTTTCGTCCAGTTTATCCTCCCTACCGGACATTTCCGCCAACAATTCACAATTCTTCGAGGTGCTATACGTGGGCAAGATCAAGGTGTCTCACAAGCGAGTACCGTTTACCTTCATCGATGACGCTCTGCCCAAATTTAAGGCATATGATGCACAAAAGATCAAACAACAGCTGGAGACAACTAAAAAGGTGAGTTGCTTAAATTTTCCTATTGATAATTTCTTCCAGTATATTTAGTTTATTCTGAAAATTAGGAAAGATGGAAGAAAATAACTATTGGAAACATGCCCTTCATCAATTTTAAATAGTTTCCTGGAAGTAAAAATTTGATATATTCCTTTCGAAAATTAAATATGCCCTCTTTTGATGTTCCGGTTGCACTCAAATCAACATCCTTAATCCGAATTTACATTTGCATTTACACAAAAAATAAAAACCTATTTACATGAATCATTGAAAAAGTAAATCAATCATTACAAACTGAGCACCTGTTACGTAATAAAAGGAACCCTAAATAGTTACCGTATGTTCAATAGGGTTATTTGGGAATTACATGTCAATAAAATGGAGATGGTTGCACCCAATAGCTTTAGCCAAAAACTTTCTGAGTCTCCAAAAGCACACACCCAACGGAATATTTCAAAATATGTTGTGAAAGGCCATCAATAGATATCAAAATAATCTGTTTTAGACTTCACTGAATGCCCCAGTAAGAATAAGTGCAGTAAGCCGTGTACATATGATCATTCTTGCACTTATGCTTGGAGCCCTCAAAGTTGGTTGCACTAATACAGGTGCAGTTTTTTTTATGCACGTGGACAGTGAAGACAATTTGTCGATGTCGGTGGGATTTTTCTAAGACATAGAATTTTCTGGTTACGTCCTTCGGAAGGAAAGTAAAACCGTTGGACCCGGCCCAAGTGGTTGTTGGGTGCGATATCTACCCAAGTGTTGAAGCCGGCTCCCTGGCATTCGATAGTCGTCAATGGATGGCAATCGATGTACGTCGCGTCGGTGATTGGCACTCGATAGTGGAACACAGACACCGTCCACCCACCGCTATTTATCGGCTGTCCTTCAACCAATTGAGCTGATTTTCTGTAGATAACTAGTTTGTGGTTGACACTAATCACATACAAAAAAATAAGCCTAATTGGTTGAAGGACAGTCGAGAAACAGCGGTGGGTGGACGGTGTACGGTTTAAAGGTGATTGTGAGGAGAACTTCAAGTGAAATCTAAGGATTGCTTCCAAGGTAATTCCGCGATCCACCTAATTCCAGATGAATCTTAATAATAATTTTTGAAATGATTTTCAAGTTAGTTTCAATGAAAATTATAATGAAATTTGGGTTTAATCTTAAAATGAATTCTAATGAAACATCCAATGTGGTTCTAATAGCATTTTAAATAGAAATCTAAGATTGTTTTGTACAGACAGGATTTGAGGCAATTAGCGATTTTCCAGGATTGTTATCTGGCATTCAGACAACATTTCCCACCCACTACGCTCTTGCAGCCTTGGTGACTTTCTGAATACCTAGGAATTTCCAGCAAATACTGGGAATTTCGAGAAGAACTGTATGTGAATTTTAAGGAGAAGTAGAATTTTTAAGAGGGATTTATAATTCAAAATAAATTCAGGGAAATCTAATGAGAATTTCATGATAGTTCTGAGTAAAACTCCAGGCAATTCTAAGGAGTATTTGATGTTATTAATTCGTTATACTCCTACGCATTGCTAGCATCAAATACTCCTCCAAATTTCGTGGAGTATTCCTATTCAATTTCTAGCAGAATGTGAAGGCTAATCAAGCGAGAATTTTATGAGAATTCAGTGGAGAATTTTGTAGAGAACTCCGGAGTTAATTACAATACTGGTTAGAAATTTTAAAATACTTTTAGAGTGAATTTCAAGACTTATATGTAGATAATTCCTACAGTATTGTGAAGAAAACTAAAAGAATACAACAGCGAGAGATAGTATCCAGATGGACTTCATAGATGGTAGTAGGTGAATTCTCGAAGAAAAATCAAAAGAAATTCTGTACCATCGCCGATTTTCATGAAACTTTGCATAATTGTTTATTTTGGGCAATCATTCACATTTTTGCTAAAATTTGCCCATCTTGTATTTTTTTTATCAAAATGGCGTCTTTAATATTTATCCATATATTATAGCACTAATGCGTTTTGCTGTTTTATTACTAATGCGTCACTTCTGATCGAAATGACGTCTGAGACAAAGTTGTAAAGGAAAATAATGTGTTTTAGGCTAAAATGTACTAACAAAAAGTTCAAACATTCAACCAAATGTTCTTTTTCTACGATTTTTGTCAATTTTCAAGTGTCCACAGTTTTAAATATTTTCATTTGGGGATTGATTATTGTATTATAACACTGTATACCACGAAAAAGCAGCCAGCCAGTGAGTTTTTGAACGTTTTCAAGTAAAGCGTAATCATAAAAATGACAGTTGCAGGGTGGATAGCGAAACGGAAAATCGGGAATTTGAAAAGAAGTCGGGAAAACTGGGAAAAGCCGGGAATTTGATGGGAGAACCAGGATGTTGATATTTCCCGGCGACTTAACAAAATAATACAATCAAGCGTAATCTTCATGCAAACCTAACTAGGATTTATTTAAATTCATATTTCGCAAAGTAGCTTTCAACTGGGTTGCTGGGTTGAAATAGACGATGCACCTCCAGCCACTACAGTACCGCTATCCGAGCTGCTACCGCTCTGTTCTTCATCCTGTTTATGTTCTCCGGTCTGTTGTTTTTGTACTGGCTGTTTACGGGCCTTCACTTGAAGCAGTAATTCATCCGGTGGCTAGGAAGCATCCCTACTTTTTTTTCCTTGATTTGTTTTCCGTCGATCTTGTTTTCTGTGCTGAGCACCAATGCTACCACATCTGGACCCTACCTATCGACTTATCAGCTCATGAACCGTGGACCAACGGCTTTACTTGATCAGAGATGTTATGCCTCAGAACATCCTGGTGGTGCCGTCTGGGATTGAACCCAGGCCTGCTGGGGTGAGAGGTAATCACACTTAAGGCCCAAGCGCAATGACAGCGGAAGCGGAACGGCAGCGGCAGCGGAAAAGCCCGATCTGAGTAAGCCTACTTGTCGGATTGAAAACTAGTTAGAACCAAATCGACTTCGGTTAAGCATCTTGATGTCTTTTGTGACAACTGTCAAACTTTCCGTTTCCGTCCACATTGCGTTTGGGCCTTTACAACTACACCACCCGCGCCGTCATCAACAATATTTCTCTTCTGATTGAGGAAACTAAGCGAGGAGGAAATCTCCTTTTTCACGTCCATGTATACCATGAACTTGGGTTATTCCGCGTGGTTTGTAATAACACTTAAACGACTTAAAATTCGATGAATTCATGAAAATTAAAAAAATATAGATATTAGTGCTACACTCGTATGCAGGGTTGTTTCCACTCATTTCGCTATAAAAATTGTTTATCGGAATTATGAAATCATTAGACATTATACTGATATTTCGATCTAGTTGCGAATAATTAAATCGCTTTATGTGACTCTCAGTAGGTAAAATTTACAGGTTTGATATATATATATATATATATATATATATATGTATATATATATATATATATATATATATATATATATTACAACCTCTTATTGTTATTTACATGAACAAAATTTCGTTAGAACACCTAATAAATACATAATCCTGAAAAATATATTTAAAAAATAAGACAAATAAAATAAAAACATTTTTATAGAGAAGTGAGTGGAACCAACCTTGCTCGTATGTATCCTTTTTTTATTTGCTGAGTGAGCGGAATTACCAACCGCGGGCAGCAAAACCTCCGGTGGTCAATCGTAAACACGCACATATAGAACGCATGAGAAATGGGTACCTCAAGTGTCTTTACATTCACATAATGGAAAATTAAATCTTCCGTGTTGAACTTTATGAAAACGGGTTTCTCCTCCGCGATCGGGTAAGTCTCTTCCATCTGAACGGGATCCGCATCCAGTGCATTCACGAAATTATCAATTTCGCCTATAGTGGATTTTGCACTTCCATTTTTCAAGCTGAACTTTATTTCACACATTTTGCTTCGACCGGCAATGACAAAAGCTACCGAGTTGACAATGAAACTCCAAAACAATAGCTGTTATCGAATTTATAGACTATCGCGTTATTAACACCGAAAAATACAACTGCTGCTGTCTCAAATCCGAAAAAAAAAGTTTTTTTCTTCTCCATACTGAGAAAGTAAGGCCCTTATAAAATGTAATGCAAAAATCAGTGCTGCATTAACCAAGGGGGCAGCGATCAAGAATTTCGTCATAGCTCACATCAATGTGATAAATATAGAGGTTAGGATGACTGCAACAGACTACTCTAGCATTCAGCACTGTGATGCAAGTGTGAAGGAGTAAGTTGTTTTGTTATGTCGTACCTCCGTCAGTTTTACCGCTGTCAGTATGCCTCAAAAGTTTCGTTGTCCAAAAATGTCAAAATCATGTGAGCTACGGTGTTATATGTGGTTGACAGGGATAGAGTTCTCTTGGCATTAACGTGATTACTCCACCGTGTAAAACTCTGCAGTATCTTCTTTTTACTTTTTAGTTTTTTTTTTAATTCATTCACACTGAGCTGCATATATCTACATTATTACCATAAATGTGTTTAACTGATAAAATGGAATTAGAAGGTGTTTGGGGTGGGTGATAGGAATAAAAGATCTCAAGACTAATTATGGCCCAATCATAATTTTCGTACTCCCACCTTTACGTAAATCAAAACAATTTCTATAGCCTATTTGATTTTTACAAGTTGACTGTATGGAACGCTAGATATGAACCAGTTTAAACCTTTCTTTCAGAATGATGAATCAACTGATGGAGAGGCAGACACATCTTCCACCCAGCAGCAAAAGCAAGTGCAGGCACAGGTGCTAAACAGGATCAACGAGTCCAATGAAACGACTGGTACAGAGAACATCACGGCGAACGCAACTACCGAAAACAAGGAAAACACCCAGCCGACGCTGGCGTCTGACGAGGGTGAAGTCTTCCGAGTCCGCAGAGTCAGTCAATTTGATTTGCCAGTGAAAAAAATGTAAGTGTTGTTATTTATCGAACTACACAGCCATACTGATAGGATATTTCGTTTTGACAGCATGAAGTAATTGTAATTGTTCAGTTAAAGTTAATTAACAAGGTACAAAAAAATTGTCACTTTTTTACAATTTATTTGATAATTTTATAAGCATTTGTTTAGTTTCGATACTAATTTAGATGTTTTATTTTGGCTAAATATCGATACTGTTTCGACGATGATGGTTCCATTTTATTATGGTTTAATCAATCATTGTAACCCCAAGCAACATTGCAAGTTTTATTGATGTTTTATAGCATTCTACAAGTCTAAATCATGGTCTACAGAACCCTTATAAAACCAGAATTGTTACTTGGAACGTGCTAAGGGATACAAAAAGCAGTAATAACGAATAACATTCAAATTTATCACATTTGACTCACAGAGATGAACCAGCCGATGGCTGAAAGTCTCTTTAATAAAGAAAGATAAGATAAGATCACATTTGATTGGTGCCATCGTTGTTATAGTTTTGACAATAATTCCCAAGGATGCACGTGTAAAACGAACACATACTTAATACAACACACGGCTGCATCGACATATCAGTCACATTTACTGTTGTTTTGTTGTGGGTTGGATGATTCACTGTATTGCACTTTTTCACACTCACAATAATATAGCGAAGACTCATCGAAGGAAGAATCAAAAACAGGAAACACCGACGATAGTGAATGTGCAAAAACCGGTGGTGGCATTCAAAGATCTGTTTCACACCCACCGCCACAGAAAGAATCCAAATCATCTTCCGACGAAGAGTAAGTTAGGACGAACACGTTTTCAGGCAAACAATAGAGCATAATAGTTGGAATGGCTTCGCATGTTTAGACATTTGATTTAGCTTTCACTAGCGTGTTGATAGACTGTTTACGTTGCAATAAAAATCACTTGGACCTCGATGACGAAATTTAACAATTGCATACTATTTAATATAATGTAGAGATGACCTATTAGTATACGACAATTGGAAAAGTATGCCAAAAAAGGCCCAAGAGTTTGAAAGTGCCTCAAGAAAAGGCTTGTTTTATTTTAGCATTCACATTGCAATTACAAACCTCTATAGCTTTTTTTATTAAACCACAAGCATGGAATATTTCTTCAATAAATTATCATAATTTCTACATTGCTACATTATTATTAAAATAAGGACATATGTATATAATCATCAACATCGTAATCGCAAAAAAGACAGATTTAAATTCTTAACACCTGACTTTGTTTGCAGATGTTTCTTAAATATAGTAATGACCCGATTTTATCAGCCCCTTCACGCATCAGATTTTAATCTTACAATAATTTCACTTGAACGTAGTTCCAAATAATTCTCATTCCTTCAAAATGTAAACATCCATTCCCGAGCAGGATAAAATATCTTATTATTACCTAATTCAGACATGAAAATAGCATAACTGGCAACCTAATTATGGTATTGACGAGCCTGATAAAACAGGTAAAATGCCAAAAATTAATGCATTAAAAATCTTCTAGGAATACTAACTAATACATAATATAGTTATTATAATAACTGCCATATAACAAACGCATTTTATGATGCCAGAATACCATAATTTTATATCTAAATGGTCTTCTAATACCAATCCAATAGCTCTTTTAGGGGTTATTGTCTAAAAACTGAAAAATCACGCAAAATATTTCGATAACTGAATAATATCAAAACAAGGTTTTATACCACAAGCATAGCAAAATAAGGTATCATACCAAATTAAGTTATTCATATGTTATCGGTTAGTTATCGGCTCTTGCTCGGGTACGGTATACTTTTTTGCAATAAGACCACTGTAAATACGCAAAGGTTTCATAGCACAATTGAATATTTTTTCAAAAATGGCCCGGCAAAATCGGATCATTACTGAATTTCATTAAAAATGTGTCCAACCTTATCGCTTAATATGAACTGAATTTAAAACAATTATTTGTAAATACTTTACATACTTCAATATGCAATTCATCGTTTATTGTCGTGCCACCTATAAATTGAAAATCACCACTCCGAGTTGCGACAGCTTTCAGTCGCAGCGGCACATGTAATGGTAAGCGTGATTGCCTCTCACTCCAAAGGGCCTGGGTTCAATCCTGATCATGCCTTCCTTCGTAAGGGAAGTAAAGCCGTTGGTATCCGGTCCATGAGTTGATGGGTCGATAGGTAGGGTCCAGGTGTAGGAGCTGCCTCCCTGGCGTCGGTAACATTGGTACTCAGTACGGAAAACAAGATCGACGGAAAACAAATCAAGGAAAAAAAAACTTTCAGTCGCATGTACAATACTTTTTTTTTTTTTCCTTTGGTTTGTTTTTTCCGTCGATCTTGTTTTTCGTGCTGAGCACCAATGCTACCGACGTGCCAGGAAGGCAGCTCCCACACCTGGACCCTACCTATCGACCCATCAACTCATGAACCGGGGACCAACGGCTTTACTTCCCATCCGAAGGAAGGCGTGATCAGAGATGTTATGCCTCAGAACATCCCGGCGGCGCCGACTGGGATTGAACCCAGGCCTGCTGGGGTGAGAGGTAATCACGCTTACCACTACACCACCGGCGCCGTTTGCATGTACAATACTATACATCATGAATTAAGATTCAGCGTAACTCAGCGATAATCTATTGCAACTTAGGTGCTTCAAAGGTTTCAAATTCTTATTACAGCTAAATAAATGTTTTTCGGAGTTATGAAATAATTAGATGCTATGAGTCTACTCTCCACAACTCGATGTCCACTAACTCGATATCGAGTTATAGAATCGTAGTTAAAATGAAATGTGATAGCGATTTTGTATGGCATTGTTATTCTATAACACGATAATTCAATAACTCAATGGTCCCTTCAATATCGAGTTGGACAAAGTTCACTGTTTTTTTTAAGATACACGAAGAGGTTACTATGTATGTGTTTGATCCATAAAACCTAACAATATCGCTTACTGATAATCATAATCAGTGATTAGTCACTCACGCACTGACTCAGCGATCAGCAAATCGCTGACTGTGACTCGTGTAAAGCAAAATTTACAGGTTGTATGTATAAACATATTTTTTGCAACCTCTTGTTATATCTTTCAAGTAAAAAATATGTTAATATAATTATGTCATAATTCCAAAAAAAAAACACGTTTTAGCTTAAATGAGTATTTGCAACCTTGACTTCACGCTGAAAAAAGTATTGAAAATCATTAATGCCACACTCCAGTTTGATCCATAATCCCAAAACATGATTCTCTGCCAAAAATGGCAAAGATTGATGGAGGTTTAGACGTCACGAAAATGATTTGAAGTTTGTATGGAGATTTTGGCGAATTACTATGAGGCATTTTCCAATTTCACGACAATCGCTCTATTTTTGATTCAAGTTATCAGAATTAGGGGAAGGCGAGGCATAGTGAACAGGTGGAGCATAGTGAGCTTCCTGTGCTATAGCCTTGGATTTCTTATGGTTCGAAACATATTAATTGATCATTTATCATTGCAATGGTGATATTGAATGATGTGGATGATGTCTGTGCTTGGATTCCCTGGTGAACTTAATACAGGAGTTTGCTCAAACTTGATCCCCTGTTTTAATTTTTTTCAACGAAAAAATCGAAAGTGGATGCGGTTTTCGCACAGGTACAAATGGTAAATATTTTTTGTAAGTTTATGAATAATAAAAAGGCTCCAAAATTATGTATAAATCTCTCAAACTACGTTTTTTCAGAAAGAGTATTAAAACGTGTTACGAAAAATTGGAGAAGACATTCATTGTTTTAAAGAAAAGTGTACTCAGGGACGGTTTCATACGGTTTTTATTTTATTCTCTCGAGCCTCTGACATGCTTTATTCATTCCTAAATGTACGGTTTTCTCAAATTCGCCAGGAATCGCAATTTTAAGAATTGCGGTACACTTGATCCCCCTTGATGACATGCATTTGAATATAAATTTTTACTCGCATCCTAAGGTCCAATGTGGGAAAATTCTTGAGAGCCAGGTCTCCACAAACAGAGTTTTATTTTTTCACCATCATATATAAGGTTTGTGTGTGTAAACCTTGGGGATCAAGTGTCCCCTAACTGAGTATTCAACTTCATATCAAACTTAACAAACAATCAAATGAAACAACACCAATTCAATGGTTATAATAAGTTCTACTTATTCACAGCTTATAGCTGTGAAAATTGTATACGTTTTGGTTGAAAATTCAAAAAAATATTTGGAATGTTCATGCTGGCCAAAATAAGGGAGTAAAAACATATGAACTGCTCTCAAAAATATATTCGTTCGACAATCTGACGAAAATGTCCCCATAACATTACCTTCCGTCAAGACGAAACTTAGGGGAAACTTACTTGAAAAAATCTGCTCAGAATTTTGAGAAACCAAAGAGGGATCAAATGTTCCCAGTGGTCAAATGTGTCCAGTCTCCCCTATTGTTGCTAACCACGTATTCAACAATCAATTTACTCTATTTTGTATTTTTTTTTCTTATTTTTATCCATCTTGAATTGGACAAACAAAAATAGGCTGTTATTCATTGTTAAAACAACAACATAATATTTGTTTACAGCGTGTGGAACTAGAACCACAGTTAGAGCGATATTTGTAAAACTGTAACTTCTTTAGTAAACTATTTTTTTTTTTTTTTATATCTTTATTAAGGGGGTATTCCCAATCTTTTGCCTTTTTTCGGCCTGTTTTTCAATTATTTTTTTTCAAGGAAAATGAATAGTAATGCGCCTAACTCTTTGGGATTCTTGTTTATTGAACATTAAAGTTTACAAATAATTTTTTTTCGACATAAAAAAAGACATTATTGACGTCACAAAATGGCGGCAAACAGACCCCTGTTCGCCGCAAACGCCTGGACGGGCGAAGACTTTTCTCTGGAACGGCTTCATCTGAAACAGATTTCGTGATGAAATTAATAATCTGCATAAGATTCTCTGGAGCTTCTCCCGTTGGCAGCAAAAAATCTAGCAAATTAACAAAATGGCGGCCATATGAAAAAACAGGCGATTTTTAGCCCGCTTTTTTGCAGCTTTAAGGTGCTTCAAACAATGTTAAATGTTAATATTTTTGGCTGAAAGTGGGAGAAGCTCCAAAGAATTTAATAAGGAACAAAATGCGAAAAGATTCAAGTCAATATCTCTTATAGTTTCTGAGAAAAATCTTCGCCCGATAAAAAAAATATGGTTTCGAGAAAAACGCGTTTAAAGTTTTGACTTTAGTTAAAACCATTTGGGGGTTCTTACCATTAGTCAGCTATGCCTGGACACCGAATTCGCTGATCGGAAAACGGCTTGGGGGGATGAAAGTATATAGTCTAAAGTACAAAAAAACGTGAAAAAAATAAATTTGATTTTTTGAAAAAAAAGATCGGGAATACCCCCTTAAGGAGACTTTCAGCCGTTGGCTGGCTCGTCTCCGAATTTAGTAAACTAATATCCTTTCCAACAAGATTACAAAACAAAGGTAAAATGGGATTTTGGATTTTATGCCTCAGAACATCCCAGCGGCGCCGACTCGGATTAAACCCAGGCCTGCTGGGGTGAGAGGTAATCATGCCACCACCGGCGCCGACTTTGGTTAAAAGTGAAAATTTACCATGGTGGCGTTTACGTCATTTTGTCATCCCACAGCAGTATGGGGTTTGGTTTGAATGTTTGGTGCAGAAGAATATTCTGATTCGATGGAAAAATTAACATGTTACTGCGATATTACATCTACATGAAGGTTTCAAAATGGGAGTCAGTAATAACCCCCTTGGGAAAAACCAATCAGTCTTAAATTGCAAAATCGGCTTGTTGCATCGAAATCAATCCAAAAATGTAATTAACAGTCATACTCGCATGACCACATCAACCATAAAATGGACGAACTAATATCCTTTCCAACAAGATTACAAAACAAAGGTAAAATGGGATTTTGGATTTATGCTCGAAGAGTTTATATAGCTTTTTCTATTAATGACAATATAGTTGGCAACACGTTTGTAATCTATTATATCTAATCTAATCTAATCTAATACAAACGCAGCCAGTACGAGAAAACATCCTAGAAAATGATTAGGTTAGATGAGGTCTAATCATTTTTCTTGTCTTATTGATGTTTACAGCATATCTGAGATATGATATAAACATCAATACGGCCAGGCCTACTGCGTTGTATTTGCCGCAAAGATGATTCTTGGAAATGAATGGGAACATTTCTTGAATCTACAGGGGTGGAAGGATGCGTGGACATACCGTACCAAACGCTCCGAGTTACTATGTGTAGTTGTGTGTAATGTGTAAATATTTGTACAATATTGAAGACTCATAAAATAATGCAATAGAAGGATCTTACCGAATTTTCTCCTATATACCACAACACATTGCTTGTTGAGCAGAAAAACGAACCACTTTTTGATTCACCGATTTGTTCTGTGATTCCGTGCGGCAATTTCCTTCCGTAGATCATCCTTGGTCGGTTTTGAACTTTTCTTTAGTATGTCCTGATTATAGCACTTTTTGCTTGTTTTTACGCTATTAAAACGACAATAATCAGATTCAGATCCTCCGCATTTCTGGTCTGCCAGATTCTCTCGAACTTCTACCAGTGATTGATGTTGTCTAAAACACGACACCAGAACTATTCGCAAACTTTATCAATTGAGACCACCGCTAAAAATCTTCATTTTTCAAGTAGTACACAACCGAAAAAGAGTTTTTAGACGGAAAACACACAGACAAGCTAGTAAAAATTGTGACAGGAGGGCAAGAAACTCAACCATTCGCGAGCAGAACCTACTTCGATCACACGTTTGTAATCTATTATAATATCCATGAAGTATTAGGACAAAACTGAAAAAAAAAACAACTGATGAAATCGTGTTGCCAAAAACGCGATGGCGTTCTATTAGAATACATGGTTTGCTTAATTAACGAAAGATTCTGAAAACACGCCATTAAAATTAATTTCTTCATCCTCATCCAGAAAGGATCAGTTGATTATTAATCAACGCATTGCACTATTATCTAGTAGCTTCTGAACCAACCGAACCAACTGAGCAGATTTTTATGCGTTTAGTTTAGGCCCTAAACTTTAGGGTTGCTACTAATCACATATCTAATGCAAACAAATAAGCACGGTTTTTCAGAAAACAGCCGTAAAAAAGCAATGGTTTAATTTAGTTAGAAACCGCTCTCTGGGGACTTTTTCTAAGCTTTCCTAGTGTTTACTAATAATACTTTTTTGCTTATGCTGTGAATTTTCGTAAGTACTCAAAACCATTAATTCGACACCGCATTCACATTTTATCCTCAGTGTACCGGTGTGTCGCGATCGATCTGCCTCGATCGGCTCCATCCCGGTTGCCGACCAGAACCGTACGATGGTATTCTTGATAGGCCAATGTGACCTGCGGTTGATTAGTCCCGATCGCAAACAGGTTTTGCTGCACAAAGAGTTTCGTGACGTGGCCAGTTGTGCCCAAGGTCAGAAAAATGCAGATCACTTTGGAATTATCTGCCGAGACGTGAACAACGATGGCTACATTGGGTACGTCTTCAAATGCCAGTCCGAGAACGTAGCCGATGAGATCATAATCGCCATCTCGCAGGCATTCCTGGTATGCTCAGAGCAGAAACAAAAGGACAAAACAGCTGCACAGATATACTCCTGCGAGCATTGCCCCATGCTGTGGTATCATAAGCTGTGCTCGGACGTGGAAGGACTGAGCGATAAAAAGACACAGTATATGATCTTTAAGCGAATAGAATCCACCTTGGCAGAGGACGAACAGCGATTGGTATTGGAAAAGTATCACGGTGCTGAGAAAGCCCCAGGGCACAGCATTGGCGAGCAGAATCAATTCCTCATGATGTTACTAAGGGCGCACTGTGAATCCAAGCAACAAAGACACGTACACGATACGGTTGAGCATAGAGCAGAGTTTTTGAACCAATATCTAGGTGGCAGCGGCATCTTCATGAAAGCAAAGCGTTCACTGACGAGTTCATTTGATCATCTACTCAAACGTCGTACAAGCAAAGACGAATTTGGAGGGGTTCCATCAATCAAGGACTCAACATCTTCGGGTGATCTTAGAACTTCAAATGATCTAGAACCACAAGCAAGATCACGTGCTTCTACAATTGGTTCCAGCCCTTCGTTGAGTCGAAAGAACTCGGACTTTGGCGTTGCCCCCACTGCTCCCCAACTGAAGTCGCCAATGATGGATATGTATATTTCTTTAAACTTTCACCCACAAATAGATCAAATTTTAATGGTTTTCTATTTAATTGCAGATTCATTAAGGTAGGCAACAGTCCCCGAGAAAATTCCAATCACACTGGATCGTGGCGGCAGGCAATGTTGCACCGTGTTGTTACCCCTTCGAAGAATATGAAAGTTTCAGGTGATGAGTACATGTCTCCGTTACGAGCTCCACAAATCAGTAACAGGAAGCGAACTCGGGAGGAGCTTCGCGAGCTATGGCGCGTAGCAATCAAACAGACCATAATTCTCAACCGCATGGACAAAGAGAACGCCAGACTGCAAGCCCGTCAGAATGCAATCAAATCCAATGAGATCAAACGCATCAAGTTGGAATATGATGAGATTTCCATCTGTGATAGACAAGCGGCAGAAATTTGGGACAATTTTCTGAGTGTTCTACCAGCAGAAGGGGTACATGCCAGAAAGGATCCAAAGGTGCTTTACCAAGCCATCAAAAACGGAGTGCCGAGGGCGAAACGTGGCGAAGTGTGGATGTTCCTCGCCAACCAACACTCGTACAACACGGCACCGGTCGATGTTTCCAAATACCCCAACTACTATACGCCGTATCAAACGCTGTTGAAAAATTTAACCGAACATCAACACGCCATTTTCATTGATTTAGGTAAGTTGAAATATGCCAGTATCTAGTGCTACCCAGTATGCCAATACCAGAACCCCACACCCGGAAAACCGAAGAACAGTTTGAACGCGATAATTGTATTTATCTGTTGAGCTAACTTTTCGTTGAGAATTTTTCATTTAGTTTATTTGGTAAGACTCAAATGTCATTAACAACTAACTCTACGGGGCAGAGTAAAATCGAATAAACTTATGAATGTAAATATAGAGGGAGGTAATTAAAGGGTGAACACGAGATTAATGCCACACACATAAGAAGCTGTAACTATGAATTTCTATGAGATTTTGTATCCCGAGTTACAGTAGAGTGAACAGACTGCTTTCTGCTCTAAAAAAAATTGTGCAGTCTCAATTTGAAATCAGCGGTTAAGTAAGGAAATGTATTGTTCATGGTTGCTTTTGATTCACGAGGCCTTCCCCTTTTTTGGCCAATAACACATCTCCAAATTGTGCAGTTGGTCAGATATAACATTACAAAATTTCGGCTCATTTTGATGCAAACAATTTAAGCACATGGCAACTCAACCCTTTAAACCCACCCCTAATTAATAATTTCTTTCACACTTTAAAGTGTTATCATCTGTAAAAAAAAAGAATAAGCCAAATTAGTAGAAAATTAACTAAATGTACTTTCTTGCAACTGGATAAAATTTTAAAGACAACTTTTTGTTTTCCTGATTGGAAAACGGGTATAAGTTTGTCATTGAACCTTGGCATATTTTTTTCTTGTTTAGATCTCTGAAAATTCATTTAGTATCGTGGTTAAAAAGTTTTTTTTTTCCTTTGATTTGTCTTCTGACGATCTTGTTTTCCACATGCTGAGCACCAATGCTATCGCGACGCCAGAGGCAGCTCCCACATCTGGTCCCTGCCTTTCGACCCATCAACTCATGAACTGGGAACCAAAGGCTTTACGTCCCATCTGGAATGAAGGCGTGATCAGAACATCCCGGCGGCGCCGACTGGGATTGAACCCAGGCCGCTGGGGTGAGAGGTAATCACGCTTACCACTACACCACCGCCTTTTATGAGACCTTTTTGTTCTTACTGTGTGGTTACTTGCAGCCGTTTGCTTCTGCGTACACGTTCTGCGTATTGATTCAAATATATTATTCGGTTAATTCAAAGAAAAATATTTTTGAATCAACAATAATCTGTTTGTTGATTCTAAAAACCATTTTGTTGATTCAAAAATATGTTTTGTTGAAAAAGTGATACAATATGTTTGAATCAATAACAAAATACATTAGACCCTGAAACAAAAATCCATTTTTCTGCGTGTAGCCATGGATTTATTATAAAGTTCGAAACAAATTAATTGGTCATTAATCATTGCAATGGTGATATTAAACCTACTACCAATTAATTTGGTTCGAACAACTAGAAGTTTTGGACTGGAGTGCGGGATGCTTATTATGCCCCACCTGTTTACTATGTCCCTCCTACCCCTGCGTAGTTTATTTGGCCTTAACGTTACGCACCCCAACAAAACTGACTGAGTTCCTCGCCTGATGTCTCATTCAAATCTCCGGTTGATCATCTACAACTCCTTTACTTCCACTTTACCTAAGCGATTTCAATAGAGAGCCTGATTGATCAACCCTATAAGGCTTTAAATCATTTCAAATATGCAGGGAAGGAGTTAGTATATTTAATTTTGTTGGAATCGCGTGCGGTTATTTATATAATTAAGCATCTTTTTTTAAATTATGACCGCTTACCGGGTAGTAAGCGTACCCTTACCCATGTCGTAACTCTCCATAAATTAAGCAAACAACTAATCATTGCCCTCCTTTCCAGGTCGCACATTTCCCGATCACAAGTATTACAAAGATGCCCTTGGCGTAGGCCAGCTATCCCTATTCAATCTATTGAAAGCATACTCTATTCTCGATCCAGAGTTAGGGTACTGCCAAGGATTAGGGTTCATCTGTGCAGTTTTATTGCTACACGTAAGTCTACAAATGTCCATTGCGCATGTTTGCATCGAAATGAAGTTAAATCTTTCCCATATTCAACAGCTGGAGGAGGCGAACGCTTTCGAGTTACTTAAGCATCTCATGTTCAAACGACAAATGCGCGCCAAGTATCTGCCTGACATGAAACAATTCCAACTGCAGCTGTATCAACTATCTCGCTTGCTTAAAGATCACATCCCTGAGCTGTATGACTGGTTCGATCAGCATGACATTTCACCGACACTCTACGCTGCACCTTGGATCTTAACCGTTTTCAGCTCTCACTTCCCACTTGGATTTGTAGCCCGTGTCTTCGATCTTTTGTTCCTCGAATCTTTCGACGTAATATTTCGATGTGCAATTGCCCTGCTGGAGGTCCACAAAGAGCAACTGCTGCAAAGAAACAACTTCGAAGACATTATGAACTACCTGAAAACGGTAGTTCCGAAAATCGACTCTGATGTTATGGAGAAGGTTTTTCGGAATGTGTTCAAGTCCGATTTCTCTCGGCAGCTGATCGAATACCAAGTCGAATATAATGTCCTGAAGGAAGAAATGACCTCTCAGAATCATCACTTGGAGAACTTCAAACGAGTTAAGGAAGAGAATCATCAGCTTGAAACACAATTGCAGTTTGCTCAATCTAGCTTAGTTCAGCTTGACAAAACACGCCAAGCGCAGCAAAACCAAATCCAAACCCTCCAAACGCAGGTTCAATCTTTGGAGAACACCGTGCACATACTAGTGAAGTTTGTCGACCAAACAATTGAAAGCAGACCGGACTACGTGCTGCCTAATGACATTTGCCGAATTATGCAACAAGTTCAGGACCTGCAGCACCAGCAAATGGTTCAGCAAAAGAAACGATCTCCAATATTCTTGGACCGCAAAATCGGCAAATCCATATCATTCAACAGCAACCTAGGACTGGCATTGAACGTACTAGAAGAGGCAAATGAGCAGGACGGTGCTGGAGGAACTCCGACAAAGAAGAAGCCGTTTTTCCAAAATTCATTCGAGCAGATTCGTCAACAAAAAGCTGGCCTTCGCCTGAACAAGCTGGATGAGTGCAGTAGTCCGGAACATGCAACGGACCAGAATGGTTCAAAGAATAACAGTGCTAGCGACGATAGTGGCATCGCAACGCCAATCAGTCCACAAATGCATGCTCCTTCGACAACTCCAATGGTGGCGGAATACAAACCGATGGTACCAATGATTGATATCCATCCCCTTAGTGGTGACGTCAACGTACAGTTTAACGGAACGACTCAGCTCAAATCTATCAAACCACGCGTGCAATCGAGACAGAACTCAGTTTCGTCAATTGTGAGTGATATCGGTGAAGGTGGACCCTCCACGAGTGGCACCAATAGAAGCTAACAACCAGCCATCGACCGCTAAAATGGCATTATGCTTCGAAAGTAAGACGTACAGCATCAACAATTAAAATCTCAATTGTTAAATTGATGTATAAAAGATAGTTCAGCTCACTTCGAATCCAACCGAAGGATATATTTTACTGCTAATATATTTTACTGATTCATGCTTTGGCAAACAGTGATATGTGGTACTACTAGTAGTATATAAGTGTTTAGGAAACTTTTCAGTATACACGCTTGAGCGGTGATTCCAATGAATGCAGCTTCTCGATACCCGGTAGTAGAAGGTACAAATTAGAAAACAGCCCATTTTGCTTCCGCAATGTTGTCAATCATATTTACAGAATAAGAAAACCCGTAAGCAGTGGCTAAAGAAAATTAAATAACATATTTGCTCTTGCTATTGTTCACAATGTACCCTCCATGTAACCGATTTGGCAAGCATACTGGATAATATATAAATTGATAAAACAAAACATAAACATCAGAATGGGAATATTTTATATACTTAACTCCAAATTAAGACTTGCCTGCAACACATTGAACTACTAATTAAAAGCTTAATAGCAAGATTTGATCACAATCGCTTCTAAATTGTATATAAGGAGGAAATCGCGAAAATTGTGACCGGAGCAGATTATCAATAAGTAATCAAGAGTGCATAGTAACTGCAATTAGCTACAACCGAATCCCATTCACCAATAAACGCCAATTTCGAAAGTTGCTAGTGAAAGAAATATTGCACACACACACCAAGGTAAATTAGAGCTAGAGAGGAATTATTTTTTATATAGCTCCAAAGCTGCCCCAATCTGGAATCATCAGGAACATAAGGAGAAACGTTTACAAAGGTGTCTTATTTCGAGCTTATCTCTTTTTAATTAAGTCCCAATGTTTGCTTTCTTGGTTCTTTTGTTAACTGTTGTTTTGTTGTAAATCGGTTTTACGTTTGGTTTTATCGGTATGGTTTGAGTACATTAAACAGCAAATGTAGCTTAGGGAAATTGATATTCAATTGAAATTTGTTGAACAATATTAAAATCGGTTAGATTGAAACGCGGTGTGTACTCTAATTTAGAATAATGTATGACCCAAAATTGCTGAATATTTAAATGAAGAGAATAAACATTATATCCAAATTATATAGCCATAGAAATACATGTACTACTGATATTATAAAGAAATAAAACTGTGAAACCTGCATCTATAATCACAAATCCGAGTTTTACTGGTTATTAGAGTAAGGATATAGAGAATAGCACGACCGGACCGGGAATCGAACCCAGCCGCCTGCAGCATGGTCTTGCTGTATAGCTGCGCCTTTACCGACTGAGCTAAAGGACGATGATGATGGTCCCACCTCTTACCCCTACAAAGGTTTGAGCTGGACGACTTATCTTAAAGACAATTAAATATGACATTTTAACCAGGTTAGCAAACAAAATCGAACTGGTTTCATTTACAGATATAAATTCCCTCTAGAGTTTACAGGTGCTTCACAGCGATATAAATGTGGAAAAGCTCAGGCGTCCACCTCTTAGTTTGCCTTTTTGTCCACCTAAAATATTCATAAGTATTACAAGCAATCGAGAATTCATGAATAATCAACAAAGCATCATATTACACTAGCAACCCCGCAATCTGATGCTATCATAATTTTCAGCAATGTAAGGAATGCTCACGAATCCCAGACTTTTGCCAGAAAACCTACTACTAACTAAAGATATCTTCCAAATAAGCTTCAAAATTGCATTTTTTTTATCAATAATTATTAAAAAAGTCATTATGACAGCTATAATCCGTTAAAGATAACTTTGTCAAGATACATAATTTGTCAATTACATAAAAAAAAATCACTGGATAACTGTTCAAACGACAGATTTAACGTGTGAAATGCAGTGTCTTTTGAATTCTGTAAGTGTTGCTGAACGTTTGATATGTCTAGGCATCGAATTGAAAACATTTATTCCTTTAAAATATAATGAATTTTGTGAAGCACAAGTCAAGAAATGTGGTGTTCTTATTTCAAGCGAGTTTCTTTTTTTTATTGGATATTAAGCTGGAGCTGCGTGACAGCTTAGTTTTCAAGACATGACCCATTTGAATAAATTTTGCTTCTATCTTTGACAACACAGCAGAAGGACTAGCCTATGTTGGCAGCTTGAACACTTGATTCCGTGTGTATTGTTTCAAGATAGTTATGGAAAAAATGCTGTGACGTATGCGCGTAGATACATCCGCGTAGTAAACCGATTGAATAAGTAAATCCGTTTCGAACGAAATATCTTAATTATGTATGTTACGAAAACCGCGCAAATTCCGAAAGCCGTGCGAGACAACCGAAGCGAGAAAAAAAGGCTTATTATCATTTAAAGAGTACCACCAAAATAAATGTGATAGTCTATGTTGGCAAGTTGATTAATTTTGGTTCCTCCCCAGGTTCCTCCCTAGATATTCTACTTATTTACTACTGAGCTTTGTATCAAATTAGTTAATTTAAAGAACGTACCAATCATTTCAAGATTTCGCGACCGAACAAGTTCTATACTACATAAGCTCAAAAGCCTTTGACAAGCTCTACCGAATTGCGCATCACCTCTGCGTAAGTTCCGTAGATGTAGGCGCGTTGATTCCGACAGCCACCAAAGGTTTAACATGCACCAAAACCGCTTAAAGAACGACCTCGAGTCAGTGAAACCGTTTAGAGCTCAACATCTAAATTACGTAAGATTCCCAGGTCGAACAATTCTTCGATAAGGTTTAACAGTTTCCGACTGGTTGAATTGGATTGCATAATAGACCCTTTGACTTTTTAAATGATGAACGAAGTGCTCGAAAACTTGAAGGTTGTCATTTTGTAAAGAGCTATAAAATGGTTTGGAATTGATAAAAACAAAGTTCCATAAAAGTAATAAATAAAATATGTATATTACACAGAACAGCGTAATATAAAACTGAAATATAATATCAAATAATCAAAAAAAAAATGATAAATTACTAATTTCATCATCTTTTCCGGGGGATGGTACATTCTGGGGAATGGTTTTCTGGGGAATGTTATAGAATCCAACAAAGGGGCAAGACGCACCATAATGATGAGGCAAAATGCACCCAAACAATGAGGCAAAATGCACTAAAATAATGGGGCAATAGATGCATTTCGCGGAAATTGGAATTCGGAGCTGGCAGCACCCTCTCAGATTTCAATGAAACTTTCTGGATGTGTGTTATCTTACAAAAACTGTTTTCATGTCTGAACTGATTTTTTTTTTTGATTTGCCATTTTCATACAAAACTAAAGCAGTGAAGCTCAAAATCGTCTCAGATTCCAATGAAGCTCAATTTGCGATTCAATGTTGTCTAATCAGCACTTAAGTTCACTTTGATTAATCTTGAATTTCATATGAAAAGGGCTCATGATGCATTTCTCGCCAAATCGTATTTGGAATTGGCAGCACCCTCTCAGAGTTCAATGAAACTATTTGGACATGTAGACCTTGTCAAAAAAAATATCATTCCCTTATTCTGTTGTCTACTACTGATGCAAAATTGGATAATATGTGAGAGATAAAAGACAAGATTTTTCATATTTCAGTTATTTATATATTTTCAATGTTTTAAACCTATTTTCATACATGCTATTTTTTCCTTTTTCCAATCAAGTGAAATATTTTTGGTTCATCTTCTGAATTAGAATACCTTTTTGTCGCTTCTTTGTCACCAGTTATAGGCACAAAACTGTGGAATTTCTGTGTGCCAGATATTGTCTTTGTGCTGTTATATAGTTCTTCGAGTTCTTCTGACATTTTGATGTACTGTTCAGTGGATATGTACTCGAAACGTAGTTTTGTGATATTTTTATCTGTTTGTTCAACTGCCCAGTTATATAATTTGTGACTATGGCATGACCAGACACTCCCGGGTAACTAGCTCAGTAGCATGAGACCCCTGAACTGTGTCGCAGGGCCGGCATGTTACTGGGTATTCGGAGGGGCTACGCGAACAAAGTATGAAACACACAGGAATATTCACATTTTCTAACACTTTTATTTGCCCTTTTCTGTGGCGTGTGGGTGTGGGTTTTCACATATATGTGGCGTGTATGCGAGGGTTTAAAATGTTACGGTACTCACTGTTGCAGCAGATTCTTCTTGGGCGTCGCGACGCTGGCGTTGGCCCACACGGCTGCTCCTGCACTACCGTGTGACCGGAAACTTGCGGCGCGGGCTGCAGACAGTGTAGTTGCCGCTTTGGGAGAATGGCGGATCTGGTGGTGTTCATCAGCCACGTACGGCTCAGCAGGCGTTGCTGGCTCGGTTGGCTGGCAGGCGTCTTCCGTCGTTGACAAAATCGGCTGACCGTGGCATGGCCACCTTGGTCGAGCCGAGACGGGACCCTCCTTGGCAATTAAGGCCACCGGCCTGAGGGAATCGTCCCTGACGGACGATCGAGGATCATTTACTATTAGGCTCGGAAGCCATCTTGACTTCCGAGCCGAGCCGTGTAAGACCGTTTTATGTCGAGTACGAGGTGTACAAAATGTACAAAAGCACAAGAGCACAAGAGCACAAGAGGTCCTGAACGGAGGTAGGCTTTCCAGCCCAAACCCCCACAAGGGGGGGGGGGGGGGGGTTGTATTATATATGCACTACACTTCCCGATACCGGTCTACACGGACGCCTGATTACTTCTCCCAATTAGAAGGTTTTTTCTTTTACAACATGGCCACTCGCATGCCTTTTGCCGATCATTCTCCATTTTTAGCTTAATTGTCCTCCCTGTAGTATCGTTCGAGTGTTTTTGCAGCGGTACTAACCCTCTCGCTGCTGTGTGTTGCCTTCTGATTAGGAGGTTGCAGTTAAAAGTTGATAGAATCATCAAGATGACTGTTCTTACCTAGCTCATCTACGGATCGATGGCCACTCATTGATGGACCTGGATCATCACTATGCTGCTGCCCACTAGTTGACGGTTGGATATTTACTTCATTTCCAACCGATCGGCGTTTTTTCATAACTGGACTTCTATTATGAGATATCACGCTACGGCATGACTCACAAATGCTCATCGTTTCATCAATTTCGTGGTTATATCCCATAGAATGTATTTTTTCTACCATCATTGACGATATGGCCCGTAACTTATTTCGGTTGCATCTCGGATTATTTATATTTGCACAACATTTCAATCCTTTGAGCCTTAATTTACTACTTTGGTCCATGATAATAATTTTACTACAACTTGTCTTCACAACTTTCGTTATCAGATTGACTGCTGCTTGTATGAAATCAACTTTAGTTTTATGGTGCTCATAGGTAAAATGAAGTGGTAGGTATATAATGTTAATGGTTTAGGTATAAATAACAGAAGGGCATATAGAATTATGATGCGATACGTTGACTTCCCAAATCGTTGTTGATTCGAAAGAAGATCTCAATTTAAATTTTATTCATACCTAATTCTGTATGGATAATTTGAGCTAAGAATTCTTAGTTGCTATAGGAGTATCGGATTTTGCCTCAGTAGTAGACAATATAATCAATTATATCATTTTCTAATGATATAAGCCCTTTTCATATGGAATTCTCGATTAATCCAAGTGATTAGTTGCTGATTAGACAAAATTGAATCACAAATGGAGCTTCATTGGGTTCTGAGATGATTTTGAGCTTCACTGGTTTAGTTTTGTGTAAAAATGGTACGTTCAAAAAATCAGTTCAGACATGAAAAAGTTTTTGATGTGATGTGATGTGATTAGAAGTCACCACCAGTGCAGGACTTGCCATAACGTACGGTTCCTCTTAATGGCAAGATCAGACTATGCAACCCTGCAATCTTTACTGTTCCGTTGTGTGAAGGGTCAATTCAGACATGAAAAAGTTTTTGTAAGAAAAACTTTTTTCCTTAAAAGTGCCCATCTCGCGATGTATGGATGGATGGTAGTAAACATAATTACCTATCTTGAGGCAAAGTTTCATCCAAATCAAACATGGCCATTTTTTTAAATCGACTTTAAATTATAAAAATCGATTTTTTTCAGTGTAGTGGTCAATTTCCTAATAGTCATCCATACAACATATTTTTGTTGGAGTTGTCATTTTTCCATAATATTTTTTTGAAAAAAATCAGCAGAAAAAGTTTGGCCCTTCTCAAATGTTAGTCTAGATAAATTTTGGAAAAACTGAGTATGCAATAGTGCTTATTTAGTCACATCCAC